ATGTGAAAGATAAGAGTCCATTTATCTTTCATCTAATGTCAAAATGGGAGGAACAAAAGACAACATAAAATTTTACTTTTATTTTTGCTAAAGAGTTTCCAGGAACTATTTTTAAACTAAGAAATAAATATATTTAATGAAGCAAACAAAATTTTTCAAAAGCAGCAGCTTTCCCCTTCATATTTTTATTGGCAGGTAACTAAGCATCAAATATTAATGTGCTTTGGAAATACAAATATGTATTTTTTATCAGAAACTTACCTTGGTTTTTCTACCCATGTAGTTTTGTGCAAACCAATCGGAATCCATGGCTTTAAAATTAGCCAAAATTTGACCCTAGATGGGAAAATAATTCAATAAGGATATTGTTATTAATGTTCCTCTAGGCTTTATTTTAGGCAGGGGTTTGTGTAAAGTTGAATAAACCTTTAAATCAGTTTTCAGTGAAAATTATCCAAAGAAACGATTTGGCACTTTTGAAGGGCCCCAGAAGGAATGTTTTCCAACACCGTATGTGTGGCCCTTGGTTCCCTCTTCTTTCCCCTCCCAGCAATCTAAGTCAGTACTTAAAACATACAGCTTCACCCATTTTACTCATATCATAAACCATGTCTTGCTCTCTCCCACAGACATGGACTACATTTTTTTTTATGACTGTAGTCCTTTCACATGTGCCTTTCAAATGACTTACTGAGAAAGCTTCGTGAAATTCATAAGCATCAATATCATTCATGGTCAATCCTGCCTTTTCCAGAACTTTTGGAGTAGCATATGATGGTCTGAAAAGAAAAAATAATTAATATCTTAAAACTTTAATTTTTATCTCAAGAGCTCCTTCATATTCCCCAGACTGAGTTTTATATGGGTATTGTAATATCCTTCACTCACTCATTGATTCTGTTATACAAATATTAAGTGTTGCGGATACAATAGTGAACTAGATAGACATGCCCTCTGCTCTTATTAAGTTTATATTCTATAGTCAGGGAAAACAGATAATAAACAAACAATGAAGGACAAGGACAAGCTAATAAAATAAAAAGCTAGAGGAACAGAGTTCAAAGGGCAAGGTGGGGAAAGGTCACAATGGAGGACAGTGAGGCTAGAGCCTTGTGAGGGGGGGACAGTCTAAATACTGGGAGGCTCCTATAATGGGCTATTAAGATTGTGTAGCGGAGAGTGTGACAATATGAAAAATCGCTTATAACATCTTAATGAAAAAAGAATACAAAGTTATATATACATAATGAGTAAAACGTGTAGAAAAAAATGGGAAATAATCCAAAACTATAAAATTACGTCCAACATAAAGGATTATTATTATTTTTTAAAAACCCACCCACAAACCAATTATGAACTCAGTGAAATAAATGTGGGTAGTCAAATACGTCTTATTATAGTCCAAGGATATAAACTGCTACATACCCAAGTAAAAGTTGATCTTTTGGATCCTGAGACACATACACAAAATCCCTAGGTAAAAAATAGAGAGGTTAGGCCGGGCGCGGTGGCTCACGCCTGTAATCCTAGCACTCTGGGAGGCCGAGGCGGGAGGATTGTTTGAGCTCAGGAGTTCGAAACCAGCCTGAGCAAGAGCAAGACCCTGTCTCTACCAAAAATAGAAAGAAATTAATCGGACAACTAAAAATATATAGAAAAAAAAATTAGCTGGGCATGGCAGCGCATGCCTGTAGTCCCAGCTACTCGGGAGGCTGAGGCAGAAGGATTGCTTGAGCCCAGGAGTGTGAGGTTGCTGTGAGCTAGGCTGACTGACGCCACAGCACTCGCTCTAGCCCGGGCAAAAGGAGTGAGACTCTGTCTCAAAAAAAAAAAAAAAAAAAAAAATAGAGAGGTTAGCTCCAATAATAAAATAAAGAAATCAGAGGCAATTCACTTGAACATCACTTTACCTCAAATATGCCTTTGGCTTATAACCCATGGCCAGAGCTTTTTCCTCTGCCATGATCAGCATTGCAGATGCGCCATCAGTCTGAAATGTTAACCAGAACAATAATGTTAAAATTCTTTAGCCTGTCTGGAGGTCCTTCTACAGCCATCTTCTATGTCCTGCTCCTAAGTCTACTAACTACTAAACAGGGATTCTATACAACAACACTTACTTCATCATATCCACCACTGAATCACAATTCAAACACACACACGGACTCACTTCTGGAGGACGAGGGTAGACAAGCCGTTTCAAAGAGTATCATCATTATCAAAATGGACAAAAGGAGCAAAATTTAAAAATATGTACTCATAACAAACATAAGCGAGAGTTTCCAGCTTTTGACACAAAATATGAGCTAAAATAAATAAACCTCTTATTGATTAAATTTCTTTTTACATTTTTTGGGCTGTTTCTCAGCTGCATCCTTCCCGTGGCTTCTAAGAGATTTTCTTCTACCTACAAACTCTATAACAGGCAAACCAATGGGAAGAGAAGAAACAGCTGGGCAGCTGAGAACATTAGAACCACAGTCTTCCCTCTTTGGACATACCCCATACATTTCTTCCCCAATGACAACAGACAAGTTGGGGGGGAAAAAAAGTACCCCTGGAAAAAAAGCTCTTTAGCATTACTTCAAAAAAGAAAAAGAACCTCCAAAATCTAGAATCCCTAAGAAAAGGAAACTACTCTGTATAGGTCACAAAATCAAACAAGTTCTACCACACTCTGCTACATTTTTATAACCTAGCAACCCTAAAGAGACTATGTAGCCACCAACAGGGTGGCCATAAAGCCTGAAAAGACAGATGATGATACATAATAAGCAATTTATGGACATTGTATTAATAATATGTTCAATGTGCCATCCTGCAAAATTGAAATGAACAAATTGGTACATTAACACATTTCTGAAAATCCATGTATCTGTGATGTGTTGCCGCTTATGATCTGTGTCTCTGATTCTCACTTAATAAACTGGGACCTTTAGCAAACCCCAGAAGTAATCAAAGGGATTCAGATCTGGCAAGTGTAGCTCATGTCACATGGCCCTATCATCCCATTTTGTTTTGGAAATGATCATCTAACCAGTCCTTCACCACTTAGTGCACCATCCTGTTGGAACCACTCCAGGTACCCTTCCCCTAGCCCACTGAGAACAAGCATTAGCCACTTAGCATGGGCAAGTATGTCACACATCTGCCTATGTTTCCAGACTGTATGGCTGGGTAGGGGAGTTATACTATAAGAGAAACATTGACCAGCTGGCCTATCTCCAGAAGACTACATCCAAGGTGAGTAACTACATCTTACAAGCAGCAGTGGAATCAACGAGCAGCAGTGGAATCAACAGGGATGTTTAATTGAGGAGTCAAAAAAGCAAAGAAGGATACCAAGCTACATGGGCATAAGTAAAAAATATAAAAAAACAAAAAACAGGGCTAGATTTATTCCATGATGCTTACAGAAAAATAATTTTTGGGTCAGTATAAAGCATCATTTTCTAACAATCAGAGCTAGAAAGGTATCCTGTTACTCTTTCTAACTACTTTTTCACATCTTCTGTGACTTCCTAATTCATATCCTATGCTCCAACCTAGCTTTTCTCCAAACAGGCCCTTTGCTGTCACACCTCCTTGATTTTACATTTGCCATTCCCTTTGCCTAGAATGCTTTTTTCAACACTTCTTCAACTGGCTTTAACTCTTACTTCAAGATTTGCTGCTCAGGTGATACCTCTTCAAAGATGCCTCCCTGACTACATCTGTCTGGGTCAGGGGCCCTCTATTTATTTTCTTCAATAGCCTATGCTTACAGCCATCATAGCACTTTCTCACGATATTGCAATTATCCGTTCTTTTCATCTCCAGGGCCCAGCACAGGCAACAAAATTTTTTGACTGCCTTAGTGCCTGAAGGCATTTGTAGCAGAATGGTGGCTGGATTAGGTGATTTCTAAGGCCTTAAAACTATGATTCTATTTTTTTTTTAATGATTCCACTTTAACATCATCTTTATAATGTATAACTATATTTTTAAGCCTCTATTCATAATACACACCGAAAAATCTATTTCAGGCTTTTCTATCAAGAGTACAGAAATATAAAAGTCACTACTAAACACAAATAGCATTGACAGTTACCAGGAAAGAAGAATTTGCAGCTGTCACTGTGCCATAGGGCTTGATGAATGCAGGTTTTAGTTTGGCCATCTGTTCCAGTGAGGAAGGACGGATACCATTATCTTTGGTAACTGTATCTTTTCCTATAAAAACAGGAACTTTTTAAATCTAGGGAACTGTAAGCATTATATATTTTCTTCAGAGAAATATGCTTTAAAAATTACAAGAAATGAGGCCGGGCGCGGTGGCTGGCCGGGCGCAGTGGCTCATGCCTGTAATCCTAGCACTCTGGGAGGCCGAGGCGGGC